GGGCTGTTGATGGCAGTTTGCTGCTGCTGAGGCTGGCCTGCTGTTTTTCTGGCATTTTTTCATCTGTGCTGCCACCTAGCGAGGAGAATAGAAACACACAAAAATAAAGTCCCAACATGGAGTTCAGGGAAAATGGATACTCTATATTTATTTGTAGAAAACTGGAAGAAACATGAGTGAGATTTGGGACTACAATTTTATGTTTTTCTCTTCAGTCTCTCTGTCCCTCCAAGATCCAAAACAGGACTCAGATATCTGTTTCTTGGTTTTTATGAGGACATTCCAGGCATTGCTGGGAAGCCATTTCCTGGATTCGAACTGACCCCTTCTTACATACCTAAACTTTCTGGGACCTCTAAAATGTCAGGAAGTGGTCTCACTTTTCTACAGTTAAAACATTGCTGGAAATGCTCACATTCCAAGTCCTGTAGGATTTGGAAATGAAATGGCAGCTTTTTGTCTGTGAATTAACAAGAGAAAGAAGTCCTTTCAACACAGGGGAGCAGTTTCCTGAAGTCTGTACCTTCCACAGAATCAACCAGATCTGCGGCATGTTTGTAGGTGAAACGTTGGTCAAACGAGTTTGGGGATTGCAAGGTAAAACAATGTTAAACAGTTTTCTTTATAGCCTTTCATGTACCAGTGCACACTGTGAACTTGTGAGAGAGGAAAATGCTGGGCAAGCTTTCCCTAACTTGTTTGACCTTGAAACCCTGGGCTTTTCACAGACCTGGTGGTGTGTGGTGCTTCCTTTCCGAGCTGTTACAACAGGGAAAGAATGTTGGCCTGCTGCATGCACACCATACACAAACACCAGTCTTCCCTGACCCTGTCCTATTCCTTCCCTTTGTGTCTCAATATTTTTGAAGTTTTGTTTTGGTTTGAGTAGAGACTGGGAAATTTATCTACTTTTGTCCTAGCAGGATTGTAACAGGGGTTGGATCTGTTTGATACTTGCTACTTTCAGGTAAAACAAAGTAAGTTTACCTACAACATATGCCAAACTTTCTCTCTCGGCTTACATGTCAAACAGCACATAGTAAGATAGTTTTTTTACTCAGCACACATTTAGTGTGCTCTAACTCTGTGTAAGGTATCAGTGGGCGGGGAGAACAGAGTGAAATAAAACAGGATCCTTGTCTTTGTCAAATCATTAAATAGATGGAGTGATAAGTTTACACACAGATTACTAATAGATACCTTACGCAGATAAATAATGGTTATACTAGATTTAGTGATCCAAACGGAAATAATAGGGCTTAGTTTCTATGGAGCAAGGACTTGGAAACTATCCATGGAAAAAGAAACTAATAGCCTTACAGAAACTGTTGTAATAGCATTCATTGTTAGAGCATTTCACCTTATTTTAAAAAAAGAAAAAGTCAATGGCAAAGAATATCTGTCTATATTAATTCTGGAAAGTGACATTCTTTATGAAACTAAGTGAACAATATTAATAATGCTTCTCTTTTGATAATTTTTGTGCATTTTAGGAGATAGACCATGTAATTCATATTTTTGACCCCAAAAGTAATGTCTCTGTTTAGGTATTAATAAGGATATGATCCCTTACACAGGATACATATTATTTCCATTTCATGAAAGCAATAGGGGCTCAGACAATTAGCTTGTTTCATAGCTTGTAAAGGGCAGGCTTGGAATTCAAATCCAGTTCTGTTTGGCCCCAAATTGTTATTTTTGTTTCCCTTTTGTGGGGCAGAGTAATTTTAGAAAATGTTTGCATACTCTTTGATTTCTATAGCCTAACAATATGATGCCAAAGAAAAATGTGAAAAACAGCTTTCCTGAGCTTTAGAGAATTACACATACACAAATAGGAGACTGTAAGCTTTGTGAGAGCAGATACCTAAGGGCCATATCTGTTCTCTGCCACAGTAAGCCCAGTGCTTAGCACATACCTGGCATATGATCCTCAATAAAGATTTGCTCAATGAGGCACATATGAACGATAGTGTTTGGGATTAGGTGGTAGGCGCTCATGAAAACTTTCAATATCTTGTATTTTTTGCAAGATAGTTCAGTTTTGAATCTGCAAAGGAGAAAGAAGATAAAGATTAATGCAGGCCTTTTGAATGTATGTCTTCCCTCCTCATGAAATGGTCGGAATCTGATCAAGTGCAATTTTCACATTTGTGATTGAACTTTCCAGTTAAATCTCAATAATTAATTAATCATATTGTGAGTTAATTTGTGGATGATTGAGAACCTTTCCCTGAATAGTTGCTTGGTCATTCCCCAACACATTTTCATTCCCTGAAAATGGCTAAAAAAATTAGGTTTAAAGTAAAACTGTATTTGAAGGCAAAGACTAAATCTTTATATCTGTATTCCTAGAATCTTGCTTTATAATAAGTGCACAATATATTTTGAAAAGAAAAGGAAGAAAAAAGAAATAAAGGGTAGCAAAAAGGTAGAAAAATGAGAGAGGAATCTTGGATTTTAGCTTTGGGTTGACAGAGTGAACTTGGGCCAGTCATTTCTTCATTTTGTTTTTCAGTTTCCTTTTTGGAAGCCAGAGGTGTTGATCTGGTTGACCACAAAGGCACCTCCCAGATTCTAATTGCCTGTGGAAGAGAGTGGGATCATTTTTGGTATAAACATGTCTATGCTTCCTTGTGTCCACTAGGGGACACTGTAGTACTAGTGCAGTGACCTTCATCTTCCAATTTATTCCATTCCATTGACTGAGTTTTTTCCTGTTTTAGTCAGCTGGAAAACGTTCTTTAACTTTCAGAGATTTAATTTACATTACAAAGTATGAGATTTAATTTGGTAAGAAAAGCTGAATAAACCTAGGAAGAATGTAGTTCAATAATTTATATTGTTTAAAAGAGAAATTAGAATCATAGAGCTATTTGCATAGTTAGGTTTTAAGATGTTAAGATTTTCTGTGGTCCAAAAGTGGGGGTTTAAATTCTTTTAAAGGAAAATAAAATGGAAAAAATTCTCACTACCAGAGTAACAAAAGCATAAACTTAAGAAGCATGTCAAATTTATGTGAAGACAACTATAAAATTGCCAAGGCTTAAATAGAGATATACTATGTTCTTGGATAAGAAGACTTGGCATTAAAAATTTTTTTAATTATTCCCTGAATATATTCAGAAATATAATACAATTCCAATGGAAATGCCAATGGAATATTTTTTGGAAACTTTACAAAAGAGTTCTGAAATTCATTGAGAAAAATTAAACTGAAAAGGGTAAAGAAAAAAAGACAACCATTTAAGAAGAAAGAGGATTTGAACTGCCAGATTTTTTAAAAGAGATTAAGATAGCTGAAATTAAAACAGTAGCATAATGGCAGCAAGATAAACAAACAAACCAATGAAACAGATAGTGAGTCCAGAAACAGACCCAGGCATGGTGTCCTGGATGCATTTGTATGTCTGGGGTTTGTGTGCTTTGGTACTTTGGCATCTCAACACTTTTCCTGATACAGAAACTGAAAAAAGGCAGATCTTTCCTATTCTAGACAGCAAGGACATCAGCACATAACTGAAGTTTGTCCAGTGGGATTCTGTCAGTGAATCCAGAGTGATGCAAAGATGCAGAGACCATCAAGCTATTTGCTGAGACAGTGATGTCAGTAATTCAGAAGAGAATGGTGGTGGAATTGTCCTTAGTTTCTATTTAGGCTCTTACTCTAACAGTTCTTCACCAGGTTCTGGAAGAATTCTATTCAGACTATTCCTACAGTGGTCCTTGGCTGATTCATCTGTTGCCATCCTCCTTTGACTCCTGTCTGATTCCTGAGCCTGATTTTTAATTTTCCCATTGAGTTTTGTATATAGATACTGTTATTCTTTCAATAAATTCCATTCTATTTAATCTACCTAGATTTGGTTACTAATGCTTGCAACTAGGAATCCTGACTTGTACAGAAACTGGTAATGGGGATTCAGTTACAAACAACAGACTTTCAGGGAAATCAGGAGACAAAAAACAGACTTTCAGGGACATCAGGAGAATCTGGGTATGCAGACTCATTATGTTTGAAGATAATAAAGACCAATTAATATTCAAAGATGAGACTCTGGAAACCCACAGCCTGGAGCAGTAAAATAGCTAATAAAATTAATGCCTGTGAGCATTAGGATTGAGTTGAATATTAAAGACAAGACCATGGGAGACAGAATTGCTGTTGTCACAAAATAGTATGAAGGAAATGAGGAATTCAAGAGCTGGTGCTAAGGCTAGCTGCTTCATTTGAAGAGATTAACAAATGAAAATCTCTAAATTCTCATTTTAAAACATGAACTGAAACCTAAGCTGTGAATTTGTTAAAAGAAACTTTTATAGCCCCAGGATAGAGATAGTTATAAACCAATATTTGTTCTTGTTGATTGCTGGTTTGCAAATCAGTCAAATTCACCTCCCTACTTGGGTTCTTAGAAGAGCATATGTTAAAGTGCTGATTCCAAAAGAGTAAGATCTTTAAAGTTAAAATGCTGTATCAGGGAGAATTTGAAGAACTCAGAGACTCCTTGTCCCCAAACTCTCCGCCTTCTTGGCAGTTGAAGCTTTCATTTATAAAACTATTTCTCCTTTAATTAAAGATGCTGAAACTTCCTACTTTGGGGGAGTTAATTTATTGGAGGTTCTCTTATACCCTACTGTTACCCTGCACTATCTACAGATCTATAATTAGAGTCAAATTCTCTGGGCCCAGTGGCTTACACCTGTAATCCCAGCACTTTGAGAGACCAAGGTGGGCAGAGCACCTGAGGTCAGGAGTTGGAGACCAGCCTGGCCAATATGGCGAAACTCTGACTGTACTTAAAAAATACAAAAATTAGCTGGGGATGATGGCAGGTACCTGTAATCCCAGCTACTCAGGAATTTGAGACAAGGAGAACTGCTTGAACCCGGAAGGCAGAGGTTGCAGTGAGTCGAGATTGCACCACTGTACTCCAGGCTGGGAGACAAAGCGAGACTCTGTACCCAGCCCAGGAAAAAAAAAATTCTAGTGTGCTTCAAGAGGCCAGTTACAAAGTGAAGTTCAGTAATATATGTCTCAAGCACCAAAGGAATTGAAGAACTTTGCTAATTAATCTGTGAGTTAGAATAGATTTTAAGAATGTTGAATGAAGAAGAGAACACAGTTTGAGATTGGGTTGAATTTATTAATACGGCTCATATGAGTTTCTGGATTAACTATTCTAGTTTGAGAAGATAGGAATAATTCTGTTTGCTCTGCTAAATGTTGTTTGAAATTTAGACTGAGGGGCGAGTCATACAAAATAAAGTTGAGATGTAAATCTCTTAGGTAAAAGGTAAAAGAACAAATTTTTTAATTTCAGGAGACAGGAATTCTGGGTTAGATTTGTCATATCTGACCCAACCACCCATCTCAATTATGTCTTCCAAAAAAGAATCTAGCCAGGTGCAGTGGCTCACACTTGTCCCAGCTACTTGGGAGGCTGAGATAGGAAGATCACTTCACCCAGGAGTTTGAGGCCAGCTTGGGCAACATATCAAGATCCTGCATCTAATTAAAACAAAAATGATAAAAAGGTCCGGAAGACACTCTTTACAAAGGCCTTGAGAAACAAATCTATGAGGGAAGGGACAGTATATTTAAAAAGTGATTTAGAGAATATTTCACGTAGACGAGCGATGATGTTGAAAAGAGGCTACAGCTGAATTTGGCTTACTGAGTTTCAGAGGGATGGCAGTATCCCAGAGTGACATGATATAGGTAGCACATTTGCATGGAGTTAAGTTAAAAGGTAGCAGGATCACTGTGAAAATTGGAATGTTCTGACCCATGGATTCTTGGGAGGTAAGTGATTATGGAATCCCTAGGATGGAAATAAATGGGCAGTCACTAAGGTCCTATTTGATTTGTATAGTAAACAAGCAAACAAACAAAAAAAACCTTTGTGTCTAGAAAAGAGAGACAGTATCGAATTTCCAGATATGAATCAGTTCTCAGACACAGTTAAAGGACATCTGAGTACCCTTGAGGAAGTACCTACTTGACTCTACCTCCTGGTATGCAAAGGGACTTGTGGCCATTTACCAGGACAGTTGTGAATGATGAAGCAGAAATATTTCACTTTCATCTGGTACAGACAAGAGTATAGCTTTACCTTCTTGCCACAGGATTACATCCTTTTGGTCACAATTAAGTCAGCAGAAAGCTTCTTATTTCCTTATCTCACATAATATCAGATTATTCATCCTACACAGGTGGGGACAAAAGAGTAGAAAGCAAGAAATACCTTGTACACCATGAAAAAAATACATAAGAACTCGAGTGGGAATTTTTCAAGGGTCCAGTGGTATACAGAACATGTTTGGCTATATTTTCTTTTTTTTTTGATACAGAGTCTTGCTCTGTTGCCCAGGCTGGAGTGCAATGGCGCAATCTCAGCTCACTGCAACCTCCGCCTCCTGGGTTCAAGCAATTCTTTCACCTCAGCCTCCTGAGTAGCTGGGATTACAGGCCCGGCTAATTTTTGTATTTTTAGTAGAGACAGGGTTTCACCATGTTGGTCAGACTGACCACAAACACCTGACTTCATGATCTGCCCACCTCAGCCTCCCAAAGTGCTGGGATTATAGGTGTGAGCCACTGTGCCTGGCCCCTTTGGCTATAATTCTGAAGTGAGAGATAAACTGTTGCACCTGAGCTCCTTACCGATATGAAGAGGCACTATTTTGGTGGAGTTTTAGAGGCTTGTTACTAGTTCCCAGTGGAACACCTAACCCTGAGACACCAAGTGACTTTTCAGTCGTAATTTCCTATCAAGATCCAGGTGTTAATTCAGGCTCATAACTTACCAGGCCTGGATAGTCCAGTAAGTGAGTTTAGTGAGCACATTGCTTGTATTCTCCTGCTGCTTACGTCTGTCACACTGCCATACCTCCCTAGCTTACATGTGAGTGTCTTGTGGGGTATTCGTTATGTCCAATTGATTTAAGAGGAAAACAATTTAAATCTTGGTTTACAGATCCTTTTTTCTTGGCTTGAAGTGGGTTGCTTCAGCATTTACAGCTCACTCCAAGACCTAAAAACACCAG